ACGACCGCTACACCACGCACAGTCACAAATGGCAGCAGCCCAGAAACAGCAACAAACACACCATGAGGCAGTAGAAATCAGTGGGAAGGCAAAAAACACACACAACTCCCCGCAGCAAGTAAACAGAAAAAACACACAAAGCAATTAAAAACAAAACACAGGTAAACAAACAGCAATGAAGTAAAAAATGTAAAAGCACACAAAAACAAGGGGCTGCACAGTATGGCTCCAGTGTGCATGAACCTATCCTCAAATGTGATTCCACGCAAACAGTTGCGTGCTTGCTGAGCGTATGAGTGTGTCTGGGATGCGTTCAACGTGATAAATGTGGAAAACAACGTGGAGCACACAGCAGGGCAGCAGAAGCAAATGAAGCAAAACACAATCATTATTTTCTCTTATTTATTTACATCGGACCACAGTGGACGCACAAATCCCCGTGGTTGAGTGCCGGCACGCACAGCCCGCATACACCTCTTCAGCCCAGAGTGGTGTACGCCAGCGCGGATGCGGCGAGCACCAGCGGGGCACACACCCACGCAGAGCTGCTGAGACTGCCGTCGATTTCGCGCAGACGTGACGGTGCGCGGGTGGTCGTCGTGATTGGCGCCTCTGTAGCCGTAGTACTTGTTGCCTCTGGCGCAGTGGTGGTTGTTGTTGTGGTAGTGGTTGGTGCCTGTGTTGTACTCGTGGTGGTCGTTGTTGGTGCGGCGGCCTTCTTTTGTTCATTTGCCGTAACGGTATTCGTACCTTTCGCCTGTTCATTTGACTTTCCATCATCTTGATCCTGTGTATTACTGGAAGTATTTTGTGACTGTGGCGTTCTGGTTATTGTACCCGTTTCCTGTGACTGACCCGTCCCTCCCCCTTCATCGTTTATCTTTGGCGGGGAAGAAGTTGTACTAGGCGATTCCGTTTCCTGAGCTTGTTTCCCTGGCGTAGACGTCGTTGGATCGGAACCTTCTTCATCTTCATTAGCCGCTATCCCGCCCACTGACGGGCAGCAGCACAGGGCGAGCACCAACAGGGCGCACAGCAGACGGCACGTCGTCATCGTGAGTGTGGTCGTTCAGTGGTGTGGAGCTGATCTGCACAGTGAGGGACATGGAGAGCAACAGGGGAGACGAGAGGTGCGGCAGACACACACACAGAGGGCACACCACATGAGGAGAGGGCAGCAGCCAGGCATGCACCGTACGCCGCACACCACGCACGACACACACTCCAATCCACAGCAACAGACACACAAACACACACACAGCCCTGCCGCAACACCAACACACAGATGGAAGAGGGAGAAGCAAACAGGAGCGGCAGACAAGGCTCCACCGCATGCACATACGGCGAGAGCGGTCCGTCGTGTCGGCACCCCTCACGGAGGGTACGCACACACACAAGAGGAGGTGCAGCGCACACAGCAACACAAAAGCAAAGAACAAATTAAAAAGGAATGATCTCCGCACACCACGTGGATTGTTGGTCCACGGGAAGCGCAGCCAACATTCATCACAAGAACAATTCAGTTGCCTTTTGGCCTTCGTTCATATTCAGCGCACACCACTTCATGCAGGCCTGGGAACCACCGCAGCTGCTGACGCACACTCAAAAATAAGCGCAAGGAATGGCACAAAGCAAGCAACCATTTATTTGTGTTTCTGTTTGGATGTTGGCAGATGTCTGCATGCGCTTCGTTTTGTTTTTGCGGAGGGCAAACCTTCATGCCTGCATCGTGTGTTGGAGATTTCTGCAGGGTGCACAATTATTATTTTTTCCTCTTGTGAATGTTTCTTGTGTTGGTGCAGCCAATAATTCGGTTTCTGTTGTTCCTGCTTCTCTTTGATAAGGTGATGCAATAAAGAATAATCTTCTGGGCCGCTGGCCGAATCCTGAGTTTCTCAATAATAGAAACCAAACAAGATAGAAATAAGTGAGGGATCAACAGAATAAGAGTGGGTTCACCGCATCCTCAAAGTTCAACACGAGGCAAATAAACGCATGTTTATATATACATACCATCCGTTAGCCACAATCGTGGCCCGCCCACTCTATTCGGATAGGATACATATATTTATTTATTACTTACGACGTGGCAGACTTTTGGGGTCCTGCAGCCACAAGACACCGCCGCGTGGTGGGAACCAAAAGGGGGTGGGTGCGATGGTAAAAATAAAAATAAAAATTATCCGGCCGCTGTCGGCTCCCTAAAGTCGTGGCCTTCCCAAAACTCATACGGTAGAAAAGTGTCCTAAAGAAGTGTATATTCGTTCTATCAGGGTATATATATATATATACATTAAGTCAGCCAGCTCTCCCGCGATCATTCTCTACACAGGCTCCTAAAAGGGCTCAAACACACCCACAAGACTCCCAGCAAGAAAAAAGGAAACACGGCGTGACTGACACGACTCAGAGTCATGTTTCTAAGACAATGCGTGGATGACTCCGCCGACGCCACACCCGCACCATATGCCATCAACTCCTCCACGGCAATAATCCTGCAGAGTGGGGAGAGGACGTTTCACGAGCGCATTATTGGCGGAGCCAAGCAACTGTACCGTCAGCAGATGGCAGCGGTCGGCGGGGGAAAGTGAAGGTGATGGGACTGTTGGTGAGGGTCGATGCGCAGTGTCCCTCACAAATACGAGGCGGGTGAAGTGAAACAAACTCGTCTGAACGTCACCGGCCACCAAGATGCATTGCTCCCTGCTGTGGATATTGATGAGCTCGAGGCTGGAGCAACTACTCGCAATGCGTGAAAGTGTCTTCCTGCACTGACGCTGCAATTCACATTAGACGGGCAAATTCAGAACAGTCGATCCCCAGCAGTAAAATGCAGCTGGCAGTGACGCTGTGGATTCTCGATTCCCACGGCAACGGAGGGTGAAGAAGAAAACTGGTCTCCCCAGCTGCGCGGCATCCATCCATTCACTCTGTGCGTCCGGAGTGCCTCGCAGCTGCCTTGAGAGATGCAGCGGACAGACCTCCCTTATTTTCGCCTCGATCCGTCAACTGAGACCTTCGCGGAGGCGTCGGCACACACCGAAGTCTCCCTCGTGCCCGCCAAACAAAAGACACACCCGTTGAGCATCGTCACGTGCATCAACGGCCACGCAAATAAATATCCACCGCAACGCAAAGTGTTTCTTATTGGGCACCAAAAGAAAACTGGAGGCGGCGGCCTGGACAACACAGACATCAAATCACACGCCAGGCAACCCTGAAATACATGCAAAAGGGCCAACGCGGGACCAGCAGCACAAACACTCGAGAGCTGCTGCGTGAACTCCACGGCAAATGGATCAGCCTCAACGCATGGGGCACTAATTACGGTGGGTGACAGCGCGAAAGCCAACGGTTCCGCAATGCCGGGGATTGTGGAGACGGCATTCAAACCCTCCCAGGATTCGTGTGCCAAGACACGCAAATAATCCGCCCCTCGGTGCACGTCGTCACCATAATCCTCATCGCTCTCTTTGCCGTCATTCGTATTGTCACACTCAGAGCCGTTGAGGGAAGGTGCTGCCATGATGATTGTGACATCACACTGAATGAAACAACGCAATGCCTCGAAGGGTGCCGAGTGCAGGCATCCCGTCAGGCGGCGACACGCCGCACTCCTGAAGAAACCTAATAAAAGACTGTCAAAAGGCTTTCATCCGCCATCGTAATCGCGTTCAGCAGGTTCGCCCTCTTGTTCCTCGGCGCCTCGACCTTCTCCGCAGCACCAACAGCCGCTGCCGTAGACCACGCTGCTGCTGCAATCACTCCCACAGAGAGACAAGGAAGAGTATGTGGAAGTGTGTGTCGAGAACACAGCGACTGTCATCGCCGGAGAAGGCCATCGTGCAGCCGCGTCATCATTTCAGCACGGAACGTCAGGCCACGTCCCTCGTTACCAAGAACATTCCTGCGGAGCACTGTGCAAATACTCATATGCGTGTGGGTGTCTGCTGGAGAAGCTGCAAAGAGGAGGAGCACAGGGAGGCACATCAGCACAGCAATAGGAACAGCTGGATGGCAGCGATGCATGCGGTACGGCCACAACCTCAACAATCACACACGGTGGCAGCACACACCCATCCACAAAAAAAGAAAACAAAAAATCTTCAAAACACGGCGGCAGGGTGTGGCTGTGTGTGTGGCGCTGCGGGTGTCTGCCCGCCCTGGCCGCAAAGAAACAAAACAAGAGGGAAAGAAATGTGTGCTCCGCCCCACAGGCCCTCGTCGCACGCCCACACGTCACGGCTCCCTCAGCGCGCCGTTCGTCGCGGCCCTCCTCATGCGTGCAGCAGGCGAGGCGCACAGGGCCGTCGTCATGAGCGTGTCGGTGGGTGTGCGAGTGGAGCAGTTGGGCGGGAAACACACGGCACCCCCCACAGGAAGAGTGCAGAAGAAACAATTAAAAGAGGGAAGAGTAGAAAAAAAACAACCGTCCATAGTGGTTGCCCCCAAAAGCAAAAAGAGAAGTGATGGGGGATGAAAAATAAAAATTAAAAATTTAAGCAAATTAAACCATTAAAAATGAAAAAAAAAAAAACAAAAAAGAGCAAAAGAGGGATTAGAGGTTTAAAACGCAAACAAAAAAAAAAAGAGAAGCAAAAAATGAAAAAAATTAAAACAAAAAGAAGGTAAAAAACGCACAAACAAAAAAGAAAACAAGCGTGGGAAGACCAGCTCACACACATTCTCATTGCTCCCGTAAAGCAAAACACACACACAGGTAGAGAGAGAGAGGTCGCCCACTCAATGCAATAAAAACAAAACAAAAACAGTTACGGTGCTCCGCCCATGCAGCCAGGCAGGACGGCAGCGGTGCGTGTGCTGCAAAAGAGAGCACCAACGGGCCTGCATGGGTGTGCATGCATATATACAATGGGCACATTATGTGTGTGCTTCGTGGGGTGAGGTGAGAGCGAGAGTCCATGCAAGGGGACACACACACAGAGTGAGTGAAGGACGAGTGTGTGTGCGGGCGGTGCACGGCTCTCTCTCCCTCACTCTCACGCGGCCACCACCGCAGCCGCACATGCTACAAGAAGAAGCAAAAGAGGGGAGGTGGTGTGAAAGACCGCGGTGCTGCCGTCACTGTTGCCAGTTAGAGTCGTATCATTTGCAATAGATGTGGTTTTTATTGGTAATTCTTTTTTATTGTCATCTTTATTTCCATCATCTTCTGCTGCTTCTGGTACTGCATCAACACGTGCTGTATTTTTATTGGAAATCTCCTCTTCAGTAGCCTTGTCAGGGCCGTTACTGGCGGCAACTCTTTTTGCTGATGAGCCTGATGTTGGAGTTGATTCAGCATGGCTGTTAGATTTTCCATCCTGTTGTTTGTTTGTGGTGAGAGCATTGTCTTCTTTTCGTGACTCACCATCGGATTCCCGTCCGCGTTGAGCGTTTTGTACGTCTTGCACGTCTTGCACTGTATCGAGATTTGCAGAGCCGGGGTTTTCATTTTTTACTTGTGACGCTGGTGCTGGTGCTGATTCTGCTGCCGGTGATTTAAGCACGTGTTCCTGGTTGGAGCCATCATCAGCACTAGGCAGTTCTTTCTCCGTTTTTTCATTTAAAGTTCCTGCTGAGTTTCCATTTATTGTCGTTGGTGTTTCTCCCGGAGGTGGTGGTGGTCTTGGATCTTCGCGTGCATCTCTTTCTTCCTTTCCATCCTTGCCGTCTTTTGCATCCTCGTCTTCTTGCTTTTGATCTGAAGTTATTTGTTTAGGCAACACAATAGCAGATTCAGAAATCTGTGGCGTCTGCTCATTTCTCAATGTTGAAACTGCTGATTCTTGTCCTGAATTCACCGGTAATGCAATACTTTTTCTGGGCGCCGGAACCTCGGCAGTCCTTTTCTGGTCATCATTGTCAGTGGAAGCATTCCCTTTTCCAACAGGTACCACCTCCTCGTCACATCTACCCTCGTCACCGCACCACAGCACGCAGAGGGCACACACCAGCAGCACACGGCCAGTCATCATCATCGCCATCACTCCTGTCACTTGCGTGCAGCCTTCAGCACAAAATAACTCCCCGTCAACGCAGAGTGAAAGCAAAAAGAGAGACAAGTCACACAGCCACGTACAGTAACAAGTGGCGGCACCCCAGCGACAAGTGTACACACCATGAGGCAGTTGAAACCAGTAAAAGGGCAAAAAAGGCAAATACACAGCCCTGCAGTAATTAAACAGAAAAAAAAAAACAAGAAAAACAAAACAATTAAAAACACAAGTAAAAAAGAAACAAAATTTAAAAAAAAAGGGAGCTGCACCGAATGGCTCCAGTGTGCATGCATCCACACGCAAACAGTCGTGTGCGTGTCGTGCATATGAGTGTGTCTGGGATGGTTGCCAAGTGACGGATGCGGGGAACAACGCGGAGCACACAACAGGGCAGCGGAAGCAAATGAAGCAAAACACAATCATTATTTTCTCTTATTTAGTTACATTGGAACACAGTAGACGCGCACAAATCCCCGCGGTTGAGTGCTGGCACGCACAGCCCGCATACACCTATTTAGCCCACAGTGGTGTACGCCAGCGTGGATGCAGCAAGCAGCAGCGGGGCACACACCCACGCAGAGCTGCTGCGGCTGCCGTCGACTTCACGAAGACGTGACGGTGCGCGGGTGGTCGTCGTGGTTGGCGCCTTTGTACTCGTGGTACTTGGTGCCTCCGGCGCAGTGGTGGTCGTTGTTGTTGTGGTGGTCGTCGTGGTCGTAGTTGGTGCATTAGATTCCTTATGTTGTTCATTTGACGTGTTAGTGTTCGCATTTTCTGCCTTTTCATTAGTGGATTTCCCACCTTCTTGTTCCGGTTTCGTATTATTGAAATTACCTTGTGACTGCTCCACCTCGGTTACTTTAGCCTTTTTCTGTGACGTATGAGGCGCCGTATCCGGTACATGGGTAATTTCTTTCTCTCTCTCGTTTGTCTGTGGCTAAGGGGTTATAATGGGCTGATCCCTCGCCTGACCTCGTCCCCGGTGTTTTTATCATTTTGATCGGAATCTTTTCCAGCTTTACCAGTTGTATCTTCACTCTGCGTCACGCACACGGACGGACAGCAGCACAGGGCGAGCACCAACAGGGCGCACAGCAGACGGCACGTCATCATCGTGAGTGTGGTCGTTCAGTGGTGTGGAGCTGATCTGCACAGTGAGGGACATGGAGAGCAACAGGGGAGACGAGAGGTGCGGCAGACACACACACAGAGGGCACACCACATGAGGAGAGGGCAGCAGCCAGGCATGCACCGTACGCCGCACACCACGCACGACACACACTCCAATCCACGGCAACAGGCACACACACACACAGCCCTGCCGCAACACCAACACACAGACGGAGGAGGGAGAAGCAAACAGGAGCGGCACACAAGGCTCCACCGCATGCACATACGGCGAGAGCGGTCCGTCGTGCCGCACCCCTCACGGAGGGTACGCACACACACAAGAGAAGGTGCAGCGCACACAGCAACACAAAAGCAAAGTAACAATGGAAAAAAAGAGATCCCCGCACACCACGTGGATTGTTGGTCCACGGGAAGTGCGGCCAACATTCATCGGAAAAATATGTATATATGTATATATATTTTTTACTGTTTGTTGTATGCTGTTAAAATAACGAGTGAGTAGCGCAAGAGCCGTCCGTACAAAAGTGGCAAGCGTTCCGTCGCAAACGGCCGTCGTGCAGGCTGGAGCAGTCCCAAAGAAGCCGCAGTCCAAATTCTCAACGACGGGGCATTACCACAGTGGATGAGGCAGAGTCTCCCGTGTCCCGTCGGGGATAAGCAGCACTTGGCGTCTGTAATGTGGCGGTGGCGGAAGGGCCTGGCCCGTCTCGAGTTCCCGCGTTTGTGCTTCCTGCGTGTCCTGTCTGCTGGCGTGCTTGGCGACTTCGGTAGCGACATGCGCGCGAGGCGCCTGTTAGGAAGACGGTGGAACCATTGCGGCATCCGCATTTTAGGCCCTCTCACACTATCGGAACGCCAGGCCAAGCACGTCGGCATGTGCCTTCATATTGTGGGCGGACGAGCGCGCTCTGCCGCAGATTGGGCAGAAGGACGTCAATCCGCCGCTCGCTGGTCGGCAAGAAGTTGCGGCGTTCACGTCTGGAAGAGTTCCCGGCGGAGGCAGTGGCGGGCCGACCTCCTCAGTGAAGAAAGGACGGCGCCACCGACACAGGGTCACTTGTGATCTGCAGGGCGCGTGCGCTGGCCTGTCGAGGAGCGGGCAGGAGTCGCATCGCACCTGCGCGCGGTGCCGCCACTCGGGGCACGATTTCCGGGTTGACACCAGGAATAGAGCCCTCGCCACACCGACAGGCCACTGTCACGCGGTGTGCGCGCCTTCCTTTTCCTCCTGCACATCCTTCTGGTTCCGTCGCTTGACTGCGGTGAGGTAGCCCACCTGCCAGGCATTGACGCAGTCTTGCGGGAGGGATCGTGCCATGACAGCAATGGCGTCCGCTGTCACTTTGCGTGGGATTCCGCAGTGTCATGGTGAAAATGTGGAGCCAACAGCGCGACCTCGATCCGCCAGTGAAAGCGGCATCATGCTAATCTTCTCGCCGACGTCGTCGTGCACCGCCAGCGGGCCAAGGCGGAGTGATTCCATCGTCGAGAGGGAGTCTGTGGCAACAGGAACTCGTGTGGGCGATTGGGATGCTGCTGCCAGGCGGGGAACTGGGAAGTGTCTGTGGCCATGCTCAGTGGCAGGACGCTCCGCTCGGCAGGAGCATGCAAGGCTGCCAGCAGCTGCGCGGCGAGGCCCCACAGAGAGCGCGGCCGTCCGGGGAGTCAAGTGACAGCGCAGCGGATCCACACGCACGCTCAGCGAGAGACGACAAGCCGTCCGTTTAGAGGCCTGCGTCATACAGTCCCAGAGAGGTGCAGGCCGCTTCAACGGCCGTTCGTCTGACACCATCCGGGGCGTCTTGGTGCGCCGTGGCTGGAGGGCGCCCGCCTCGTTGCAGCTCACAGCGTCCCAGGCGGCAATTCGCTGCTCAGCATGTGGGTGCGGATGTGGTCCGGGGAGATCCCCATGTGGCTGCAGAAGCGTCGCGGTTCCTTGAAGACGGCATCTCCCGGCAGCGGAATACTCGTCGCTGCCCTCCCAAGTATTGGCTAAACTGTGGTTTCCAAGCAGATCACGCCACGCACGTCCTCAATATGTCGGAGAATTGTGAGCCGTTCGTGTTGTGTGGGTGCGCGGAACTCAATGATCCTCCGCAGCGGTGCCGGATTGGCTTCCAGGTGGACAGAAGTATCCTTCGATGATGCGCGTTGGCGGAGCGATGTCGCACTTCCAGGCTGTGGAGGTGAATGGAAGCCAAACACGAAGCGATTCCCTCACCGCCTTGGTGCAAAACACACCGTGGACGCACCCAACCAAAAAGGACTGCATGGTGTGCTGGGACGCACCAGCTCCTGTGCCCAGCCGCGGCCGATGGCAGAGTGGTGCGGTCTACTTTTGTTTTTGTGTGAGGAATTTTGCACTTTTTTAAGTTTTGGTACGGGCCAATGGTGCATTGGCGTTTTCTGATTCGGAAGGAGTATTGCGTTTTGAAGAAGCCATTGCAGGTGTTCAGCGTCGTTGTGAATAACAGATGTGCGCCTGTCTCCGTGAAGGCGACAACAATGTCCCAGGATTACAGCATAAGGCACTGCGGCTTAATCTGGTGCTTTACAGCAAAGTTTAATGGAGAGGGTATTTGATTTGCGGTTATTGGGTCTTTTGTGGGGGAAGATGGGAGGTTGAGGGCATTAGGACTGAATTGATTTGAGTGGCTGCGTTCCGCTGACTTGCGGCCAGTCGTGACACTCTTTTGGGGTTTGGCCGCTCGTCTCTTTTGTTTACTTCCCACCGCAGCACGTGGATAACACTGATCCGAGGAACATTTGTTTGACCGCGTGTGAGCTGCTGCCGTGCGTGGTGCATGGACTATGTGATTGTGTGAGGAGGTGCATTGGGGTGACGAATACTTCTGTTTGGCGTGTCGCGGTGTGTCGGAATGATGTTCGGATGACATGTGGAGGGTGTTGTTTGTGATTTTTGTGTCTTCTCTGGTGGAGCCGACATGTGTGCGGGGATTGTGGCATTGCTGGCTGACAGCTCCACGTCACTTTTCGGCATTCCTGGATGTGCTGAGGAATGACGGCTGGCGACCAGCGTGTTGTTGCTGCTGGTGGGAATAAGTGCATTGGGAATAGGCCGTTTTCTCTTTTCCGTGCTGGAGCCGATGAACTGGCACGAGGGCACCGGCTGCAGGCTGCCTGCCAGCACGTGTGAGCAGCGGATCCATGCACACACCGACGCTCATCGCAAGAGCGTGTGCGATCACAGTGGCCTTTTGTGGCGTGCTTTTGTGGACGTCAGCCCACCGAAGAATGTGTGAAGCAAACGGCTGACTGCACACGAGGAAAATAGGTGCGTGCACTGTGCCGTGTTTCAGCGTCGGTGGCAGAGCGGCAGGAAGCCCGTGCTGGCAACTGAGATCTTTGCGTCGCGATGGATGTCGGTGTTGGTTTTGGATCGTCGAGGGTGAAGCGATTTTGCTGCTGCCCGTGTGTGTGACGACTCCGGCAGAGGGCGGACACAAAAGGGAGGGATGCAGGCGCTGCGTGTGTGTGTGCAGGTGCCATGCAACAACGTCACAACAAACATGCTGCGACTCGGTGACCCTCACATCGTTGTGGTCCTCACGAACAGCCGAGGCACGGCCCACACCGATGCACTTAGTGGACGGAGTGAGGCATCTTTGGGGCGCAGCAGGGAACAGGATGTGTTGACGCAGCCACGACGTGCATGGAGTGTCACGATGGCACAGTCGGCTGTGGCTGGTGGAATATTTACTTCTCGGAGGCAACACAGAGAAAGAGAGAGAGAGAGCTGCACCTGCTGCTGGCGTCGTTGCTGCCTTTTGTGGCCTCCCATGCCGATTATTGTCTGTCCGCTGATTATGGGTGGCATACCTCCACTAGTGGCGTCG